TTTCATGACCAATTGATGTTAAGTTGAGATATTTTGTTCTACCTTAAGTTGTTTACATAAATATTAAGTTTTAGAATAGTTTAAAGGTGGAAAGATAACAAAAACTAAAATTTGTGTATAAAATTACATCTAGGAGAGCCACGTGTCATCCATGCAAGGAAGGTTGAATATTTGGTTATAAAGCCACGTGTCACGTGAAGGATGCTTATTCACTAACAAATTCAGAGTTTTTAAGCATTGGTTCCACATTTCGCTCAACTTCTCAACCAACTTCCACACCTCGTATAAATTCCAGCATGCTTCTCATTCATTGGCATCAAGCTTTCTACCATTCTTGATCACCTTGCGAGCTTTCTTGGAGTTCTTTCTCAACATAGATTAGTTTTACATTGCCCTTCCTTTAAGTTTATTTCTTTATTGTAATTTTAAACTTCCATTTATGAAATTTCAGCACTGTTTTTCATTCTTTACATCACATTTTCTTCAGGGTAAAGTTCATTCGGATTACAACTTCTCGTTTACATCTTGTTCTTCAATTTTACTTTCTCAAATCATGTTTCCCTTTTGCAAAATCCTTACATTATGTTTTTACTTTCTCAAATCATGTTTCACTTTTGCAAAATCTTTACATTATGTTTTTACGCTAAATTTGTTTTTCCTAACCCAGTTACGGATGATTAGCTACTTATTTAAAACGGACAACATGGGTAAATTGGTAATTTCTCACTTCTTCATCACTTAAGGTTTTTTATGAAGTTTAAGTTTTAATTTGGTCAATTAAGATTTAAACATAGTCAATACTGAGAATGTTGACTCATTTTTACAACTTAAGGGATTAAACCAAGTTTAAACCAAGGAGAGGAAGACTTTAGATATAAAGGTTTCGTTCAAGTAGCCTAGATATACGACCTTGACCCAAGTTTGCGATTATTTTTAAATTAAGAATAACTTATAAAATCTAAGATTGCTTAGATATAAGTGGATTAAGAAGCGTAGTCGTTAAATAACAAGAGAGGTTGAGCATCCATTTTCTAGCTAATTTGAGGTAACTGGGCTTGGGTTTTATTCCATTGAGTTTTAAACCAACAAATCAACATTTCCTTGAATTATTTGTCACCTCATCCAATTACAACTTTTCCGATCATTATTATTTTTCTCAAAATGACTACGTCGTCCTTGAGGATCGACACTCATTCCACTTATTACTTGTGACAGGTGTACACTTGCACTCTTTATATTTATTCTAATTATGTATGACTACAAGAAATAAAGAAAGAAAATTATAGGGAAAAGTACTAATTTGGTCTTTAAGTTTCAAAATCGTGCATTTTTCCCACTAAGGTTTTAAAAAATAGGTTTAAATAGTTCATCCACTAACAACTCTGCTAAGTCTCTACCGGAAAGATGACAAAGGTGATATGGTGTCACAAATCCGAGTTACAATATTGGGGCTTTGGAGTCATCGTGTAACGTGGCATTCTTCCATCTGATCATGTTACATCAAGATCTTTTTCTTCGATAACACCAACGATATGGTTTAAGATTGCGATGTTCATCTTCCAATCGCATTAAGTGATGATTATCTGGTATAGTGATTTTATGAAGATCACGATCTTGATTCAAGTATAACCACATTAGGGTATAATATTGCAATGTTCATCCTCATATCGTGTTATGCAAATAGACACCGTGATATGAAACCCTATTGTAGTAATGGCCGCCCAACCTAGGGTAAAATATATTTTTGGTCCCTGAGTTTGAAATTAAGTTTTTATTTGGTCCCTGAGTTTCAAAAGTGACACTTTGGTCCCCGACCTTTAAAAAATAGTTCTAAAAGGTCCCTAGAGTTGACATTCCGTTGGTAATACTTTTGTTTCCATTTTTCTTTCTTTTTCTCTCCCACCCCTACTCATTCTCTCTTCCCTCTCTCTCTCTTCCCACCTTATGTTAGAATCCATATAAATAAATCAAATTTATCTAACCCATCTAGTGTTTAAAAATAATATTGGAATTCAAAAGTATTTTAAAAAATATGGATGGGGTAGTTGCATCTGAGAAGATGAAAATTAATATCATGTCAAGATCCATTATAGAGGGGAAAGCAATGGAAAGGACTCCTTCTTCCCACTTTTGTCCGAGTGCATTTTTATCACACTTCTAAATTGATATGCAACACTACTTACGAAAACCAAACGTGGCACGCCTCCACGCCCCCCACCTTCTAGATTGATATGCAATTTTATCCAAGATTTTGCCCTATTGATCATTTTGGGCCTAGGGATGAAAGCCCTAGTGTTGTCGCACAGGTAGATAGAAAGCCCAATTTGGCGATTTGGGCAATCCAACTTCTTTTTTCTTTTTCAATTTTTTGTTATTTTGGAAACTATATTTTCCAATACGTAAAGATATTATTATTAATCCTATGAAATAACTTCAGTAATTTATTTTTTTTATAAGCACAAAATTAATAATAATTAATGTATAATTTTGCATAATAATATTTTCCTTTTTCAGTATTCATTCATACCACAGATTAAGGTAGCCTTTGATTTTTGATTTATGATATATATAGATGGATCACTACAACCCATTTAATAACAATTTTTTTTTGTTTAAATCAAGCTTATTAACAATACTTCCACTATATATTTCTTTATTTTGTTATCTATAATTTAAAAACGTTTCCAAAATCTAACTTGTTTGGGGTCAACATACCAGGACTTGTTGGTGTTTGAAAGGTCCACCTCGGCCTTGCTGAGGAGACTGGGTTCGCCCAACTAAGTATAGACGTCAAGGTTCGACCTGGCTGGGGCCCGATCTACTTGGAACCCGACAGGTTCGACATGAGAAAAGACATATAACCGCCGGTCGTGAGTACTGTCGGATCCACCACCTATAAATAGAGGGTCTCATTTCACGCTCAGGTATCGAATCTCACCTCGAACTAAATACGGAGTCCGACCTATACTGACTTGAGCGTCGGAGTGTTTACCCTTTTATGCAGGTCCACTCTAGATGTTCAGGTCGAGATCGGAGACCGGGTTCGAGTTCGGTTCGCGAAAAATCGTTGTGCAAATTCTTGCATGAACATAACTCAAATCTTAAAAATTAAAAAAAAAATAGTTCTAAAAAACTTGGTTTAAAATTAAAATATGATTTTATGAAAATAAAAAAATATATGAAAGAAATTGCAAGGAAGCAAGCATAATTTTGAAAAATAGAGAATTAAAAAACGAAATAGTTATCCAATAATGACTACATGGTATGGTGAGTATTCCCAGCGTTTCGTGTTTTGCTTGATTACTGATTTTCAACTTTAATTTTATTATTCTAACTCCTAAGCAACACAAATTCCTTTTATTTTAGTATGGTAATACAAATTTTTGTTTCTTTTTTTAAAGACAATACAAAAGTTTTTAAACCTATACAAAGAAAAAGAATCATTTTATTTTATTTTTTTCCACTCAAGAAGAGTCCCTTCATACTAATAGCAATCGAAGAAGTAGAGATATTCTCATGAATTTTATGGCATAAAATGTAACATTAAATAAATATGTGAGCTGGTTGGTTGCTACCTCGACGAATAAAAATTATCATGAAAAGAAAAATAAGGGAAGGACATTAAGCCTTCGGTATGCTCTAACATTTTACTAGGAAAATAAATTATCACTAATGCGCATATTTATTCTAAACATCAAATATTCGAATCTTCACCTCAAACTATTGAACTAAAAAAAAAAGTTAGACAAATCTAAATTTAATAAGATAGTCTCTAATTATTTGTTTCAGCGCAAGTAATGTAATTGTAGACATTTGATTCATAAAAAATTAGCTAACTTGTTTAATTTCTTGGTACGTATATATGTTTAATTGATATACACATACATAATTGATAGAGTATTGAGCACGTATGAGGAGAGAGAACATCGAGATTTCAATGGTCATAACATTGTCAAACATTATGGTATGTTGGGAATAATTTTCACATGACTAAAATCACTTTTATCATTACTCACTATTATTTTAAAATGGTAATAAACATACCTACAACAACAATTCAATTTAAGTAGTAATATAAAAAGATCAACGAATAAAGTTGAGTTTATTATTTTAGTGTTATTATTAATGCAGTCTACTTTATAAATATTAAACATTATTTTATTCAAATTGTTCATGTGGAGAGGAAACATGAATGTGGATAGCCCACACATCAAAATTAAATTTTTATCATTGAACCTATCAATTTTTACTAAAAACTTGTTAAAACAAGCATAGATCAGCGTTAAGGCATATATCTCAAACTAAGAGGGTGTGTACAAAAAAAAGTACCAAAAACTTTAAATTTCATTAAATTAAACCTTAAACTTAGATAAATATTGCATTATCTTACCCTCAAATTTGTTCATAATCAAAAAGGGGAAGCCCTAAAAGTTTAATTATTTGTATAAAGTTTAAAGAGTCTTGATTTTAGTGATAATGATCTCAATAAATGAAGATTATTTTTGGGCAAATTCTTCATATAGAAAAGGTAATCTAGAGGAGAGGAAACCTACGTTTTATAAGTGACTATAGAGTAATTAGCACCTAATTACCTAGACCTTTAAAAAGGTAATGAGCTCATCAATGCTTGAGATAGAAGCCTTAGGGCTAAACATAATAGCAAACTAAATAAAGGTTTAAATACCATTTTCTACGTGTACTTTTGAAATGTAGCATTAAATTTATATTAAAGAATTTTTAAAGTGCATAAAATTTTAACCGAGACCAAATTAGTCACTAAATACTCGAATCCGACGTTGCGAAAATACAATAACTAAAATAACAAAAATGGAATAAAAAACCAAAATCAACATTTTGCATAATGAACAAAAATCAAAATATTTACATAAAAAAAAAGAAAGAGTTTGTAAAATAGAAGAAAGTAACAAGCGTCCCATTTCAGAGTTGGCACGTGTCACACGAGTCTTCCTCCTCTCTTCCTTTAACTCACCGATTCCTTCGTCTTCTCCAAAGCGCTACACAATCGAAGTCCTTCGTTTCGAAGAAAAGCATTGTTCCACGGATTAAATCTCCGAAATTTCCTATACCCACTTCAGATCTACCATCAATGGCTCTAGAATGGGTTGTTCTTGGCTACGCTGCCGCCGCCGAGGCGATCATGGTCCTCCTCCTCACCATCCCAGGCCTCGACGGCCTCCGCAAGGGCCTCATCGCCGTCACTCGCAATCTCCTCAAGCCCTTCCTCTCCGTCGTCCCCTTTTGCCTCTTCTTGCTCATGGACATCTACTGGAAATACGAGACTCGCCCCAGTTGCGAATCTGACTCCTGCACCCCCTCCGAGTTCCTTCGCCACCAGAAATCCATCATGAAGAGCCAGCGGAACGCGCTCTTGATCGCCGCCGCCCTCGTCTTCTACTGGCTCTTGTACTCCGTTACTCATCTGGTTGTCAAGGTCGAGCAGTTGAACCAGCGGGTTGAGAGGTTGAAGAATCGGGATTGAGGATGCAGATGGAGATGGACGCCATATTGTCGGTGCTCGAATAATTGGGTCTGTTCTCTTTTCTTTTCCTCTTTATCGGGTTTTTTCGTTTCGGTTTTTTGCTTCTATGTTACGAAAATTGCAGGTCCTTTTGTAACCGCTTTGCTACTGCTGTTATATGCTATGAAACTAATCCGACTCTTGAATGTCCTAGCTTCTTTTCCAAATGTTTACTGATTACGAAGTTTCCGTTTATATAGATGGTTTGAGGGAGAGAGTTGTGATTAAAGGCATTGTTGGGCGACTCTGTTGTTCTTTGCTTATTCACTGGAAATCTTGGTAAATTAATAGTTATTTGGTTTTGGGCAGTTTCTTGATTGCATTGTTTGTCACTGTTTTTAGCGTTTGTATTAGATTGGGGCTGTCTTTTGCCATTATGTTTCACTTGCACTTGCACATGGGTGTATTTGGTTTCTAGCTTGATGCTTGACTTAGGTAATAGGAGAATCGGTTGAGGAATACGCTTTTGGGTCAAGTTGTTCTCGCCTTTCCATTCATTGAGGTCTTTTCAAATGCTATGTTTACTTCTTTATGTTGTAGTTCTTCCTATCTGCCCCCTAATGGAACTCTGTGGAAGTCCCAATTTATCTTTAAAGTTATACGGTATGCCAAATTAAGATCATAATGAAGTTAATGAAGTAGAAGGAAGAGAGATAGAGAGAATGACACCAGATATATGTGAAGAACCCAAACTTGGAAATAACTACTGGACAAACACACAATTCACTAGAATTTAATTTGTGGCTTACTGTAACAGTCCAAAAGCATTCTCAATGGCTGTTACTGTTGTTGGCCCTTTGAAAAGAGGTACAGTTTTTTCTTCAACTCGTGTCCACAAGAAACCACATCAGTTTCACAAGTCTTTCAACTAAAATCATTTACCATTTTTGAATTCTATAAGAGGTTCAAAAGTGTCTCTCTTTCTGGAAAAGCACATTTTGTTTGTTATAGACTCCTAGGACTTCAACACTGGTGGCAGTCACAGTGCCCTTTGCATACTAATGATTGTAAGTCTATTTTGAATGTAATGAACCACAACTTACTGTAACACTCCAAAAGTTGTGACAACTATAGTTTACCATTTTTGGCTCTTTCAGAATTGGTATAGCTTTTGTTCCAACTCTTGTCCATGAGCAACCGTATAAGTTCAGCTTGAAGTAAAATTGTTTACCCTTTTGGAATCCTAATATGGAAAAAAAGTCTCTTTTTGTAAAAGTGTGTTTTTTTCTCTCAAGGTGGTTGGTTGACAATCATCCCTTTTTCCTTCACGGGATAACGGTCGGATTTTGTGGCAAGCTGGTTCTTTGCAGTCCTTTGGGGTCTTTGGCTATAGAGGAATATGTTTTTTAGGGATGTGGAGAGATATTGGGAGGTGTGGTTTTTGGCTGGATTTAATGCCTTTACATGGGCGTCGGTTGGTCTCTAAGGACTTCTGTAATTATCCATTATTTTGTATGGGAGTCCCTTTGTATGGTTAGTTGTGGAGCTCCCCTGGTCTTCGACTATATTGGGCTGTTGTTTTTAGCACCTTGGCTTGTTCTTTTTGTATTCTTTCATTCTTTTCTCAATCATATAAAAAAAAATTCATCCCATTTGTTTTGTGCAAGTTCCCAACTTACTTCGTGAGTGATGTATTATAGAAGTTTATGAGGAACTTTTTGTGGGAGGGTGGGGGATCTAATGAAGTAAGTTAAGAAAAGGTGTTGACAAGGGTTGGGGGATAGGGGTTCTAGTATAGCAAGTTAAGAAAAGGCTTTGATTGCAGCTCAGTATTTTTGGACAAATCAACTTGCGGAAGGGTGAAAATGTTCCGGGCTGCCACTGTAACATTTCATTGTAAAATTATAAATATGTTCAAAAAACCGTCTGCCCTAGAGTCTCACAATGCCTGTTTATGGAACTAGAGAAAGACAAAAGCGGACCTTAATAACGAATACAAAATATAAGGTAAAATCATAAAGCTAAGAGAAATGGGCAGCCTGAGGTTTAAGCCCAAATGAAAAGCTCAACAACCAATGAACAGTAGATGGAGAGTTTACTTGAACTCAAAATTAATAATTAAAGTACCAAACTGAAATATCTGAGGTGCTGTCTTTTTTTTCTGTCCTTAGGGTTCTGCTGTAAAGCTTGTGGTGTCTCTTGAGTCTCACCTGCATTAGGTTCCTTCGACTAGGTGGGAGGTTGTCTCATTATTGGTCTAGTTTAGTGAGCTAGGCTTAGGAAAGTTGACACTTTGTAATTACAGCCTTGTTAGTATTTTCCTTTGGTGGCAAATGCTCTGTGGCATCGGGTTATAGTTGGTAAGTATGATTCTCATTCTATTGGGATTTTGGTGGATCTTGGTTTGTGAGGCTAAAGGCACATATAAGAACTCTTAGAAAGCTATCTCATCTGGTTTCTCTATTACAATTTTTTTGAAATTTTCTGTTGAGGATGGCTTGGTTGC